ACACACACACACACACACACACACACACACACACACACACACACACAAAGATCCTGAGGCCCATGCCTCTGCCCTCCCCTTTTTTCATAGGAGTATAACACCCCATTTCCCTGGATATAGAAAAAGAATCCAAGTCGGGGACAGTCTTTTCAAAGCTTCTTTGTATAATTTTTTGGTTTACTTACAAATCTATTCTAACACATGGACCAAGACTGTGCTTTTTCTTAAATTCTCTGGAAGGGCTGAACCATCCACGGAGATGCTGTGACGCGAGGTCCATACATGGAATATATGGAGTAAGCCCCAATCCCATTTTCCAGCTCCCAAATCTATTTAACATATTGTCCTCAGATAGAGGGCATACCAGATGTTGAACTGTTAAGAACAGATACACACTTGATCTCCGCTGAAAAGCCAGGAAACGATCTGAAGCCCTGCACCTCATCACACACATCAGCCTTAGCATCCAGTCTTCCTCCACTCATACTAGACATCCCGATTGCCTAGGATGGACCCATCTGCATTTACCTCACTGAGCCATCAATGGAGGCAGTAAGTACCAGCTGCTTGTCTTCCACGTAGATCACTTGAATGATTTCTAAAGAATGGGCTTTCCAGGAAAGCAGCTGCTTGAATTTCTAGATGGCAACAAGAAGATGTATCTCTTGGAATGAATCAAAATACAATCTTAAGAAATATCATTTCTCACTGAGGAGCTACAGGTATGAGTGGGTGGAACAGGTCGTGATTAAACCTCTGCTCTGATGAGCTTGTCTCGTGCTTACCGAGGTACCCCTGCTGCAGAAAGGAGCTCATATCTTTATTAATTTGTCATATGCTTTCATAGGTGGTTGGTAGCAGAATGAAACACAGTGAGGACCATCCAGAGAGAGGGAAAGCAGATCTGGGAGGTGAAGGCCAAGGTTGAGACTGACCAAGAGATTGTTCTTACTTGCAAATTTTATCTGGAGGAAGCATTGACTATGTTTTCTCCTTTGCATGTGGTATGGGGTAGGAGCCATTTGCTGTAAGGAATTGGCTAAAAAAATAGGCACAGCTTATTCTCTTTCAAAAGCATTGTGAGGGTCAACTGATACTTTTCTTAACATTTGTCCTCAAGTTTGGAGGCCCCAAAAGGCTTCAGAAGACATCCCCAAGTTTTGTTCTGTAGTAACATACTCTGTGTGTTTCTCTCTACCCATCAGTGGACGCAATAAGCCCACACTTCCCCTGAACTATTTACTCAGGATCGTCTCTGTTACCAAAGTCCTATGAGCTTGAAGTTCTGTACCTCTCCAATTCCTTGAGACTTTCGTAGGGTCAAAAATTTCTTCTGAGTTTCTTAGACTGCTGACTCAGTTTCCTTTGGCTGTTCTTAAGGCAGGATAAAAGTCTGCACTCTTCTATTTCATATTATTTCAAAGCTATTCATGAACATTCGATAATCCAAGGGTTCTTTCTGTCTTAAGATAACATCCACCCGAGCAAAGCCCGGGGTCATGTAGCACAAACTACAGTAGAGGGTGTGCCTGGAGAGTGCTGGGGACACTTGCATGTCCATCATTTGTGTTTATACTTTAGGAAAATGCTCAAGAAACACGATTTCTGTATTTGGGTGGAAAGCTAAAGTTCATACCTTTTCATCATGAGGTGGCTCCAAGAAGGAACTAATACTGCAAAGGATAACGTGTCCTTCTGTACAAAATTTAAACATTGGAGTCCTTAATTAGACGTTATATTCTTTAGGCAAACACTCCTCAGAATGATAAGTCATTCTGAGTCAGGCACTTTTATTAGCAGATAGAATAGAATCTGAGAAATCAGCTATAAAAGAGGAAATTTGAAGTCTGAGGATATTAGCTTGGTAGAGAGGGCTTTTCTAGTGTGTGAGGAATTCTGGCTTTGATCCTCAGCACTGCATAAAACTGAGTACAGTGGTACATCCTCTGCAACCTTAGCTCTCAGGAGGTAGAGGCAGGATGACTAGAAGTTCAAGGTCATCCTTGGCTATATAGCAAGTCTGAGGCCATACTGGGCTACATGAAATCCTATCTTGAATTAAAAAAAGAAGAAGAAGAATGAACAGCAATACTAACTCATATTGCTTCATAAAACAGACAGGGAATGAACACTTCTCAGCACCCTTTAATAAGCCAGGATCACCCTGATACCAAAACCAAATAAAAATTCAACAAAAAAGAATTATAGCCCAATTTCCTTGATAAATGTAGATTAAAAAATTCTTGAAAAAAAAAAACCTTACAAACTAAATTCAAGAATATATCCATAAGCCAGGCATAGTGTCCCAGCATGCTGAGAGGCAGAGGCAGATGGATCTCTGTGTGTTCCAGGCCAGCCTGGTCTACAGAGTGAGTCCAGGACAGCCAAGGATACACAGAGAAGCACTAAATAAATAAAAAAAAGAATATATCCATAATACCATTACTATCAAATTGGCTTCATTCCAGGGATGTATTAGTTCAATGAAAGTAAGTCAGCAAATAAAATTGGACTACATAAATGTGTTTGAGGGCAGAAATCATATGATCATTTCAACCAATGCTGAAAAGTCTTTGAGAAAATCCAGCCTTTCTTTATGTTAAAATCCCCAGAGAGACTTGCGATAGAAGAAACACATCTCAACTTAATAAAATCTAATACATGAAAAACCAATACACTATGATGTCAAATGAAGAAAAGCTCAAAGTATTCCCACAAAGACCAGGAACAAGACAAGGAGGTCCACTTCCACCATTCTAGTCAATTTAGTACCTGAAGTTCTAGCTAAAGCAGTAAGACAAGGGAAGAAAATCAACAGGCTATGAATAGCAAGAGAAGCAAAATTATTCCTATTCATAGACGACATAATACCATATAAAAGAGGTCCAAAAATGCCATTGGAAACTTCTAGAATTATAGAACAAGAAATCATTTGTGGGCTGGGCATGCAAATTGGAATTCTATGAATTCAAGGGCACCCTGGTCTACATAGTGAGTTCCAAGCCAACCAAAGCTACACAGAAAGACCTTGTCTCAAAAAACAAAACAAAACAAAAAAATGATTTGGCCTAGATCCCTCAGATGGGGGATAGAGCCTTGGATCCTGCCATTTGGCCTTAGTTGATACCTTGGGCAAGCCAGGTACCATTCCACAGCTGTGTCCAATCTCGAAATCCTGGAGCCTCAGCCTCCAGGAGGTCCAGCAGATTCCTAGACTCTAACCTGAGTTCTGAGGATGTCCAGAAGAACTGAACACTTTGTAAGGTGAAGGGTAAGTTCATGACTGATTTCACCTGTATTCAAAAGTTTTCCATGCAAAGGACTACCTACGTAAGGACCCAGAATCCAGGCCCCAGAGGGCAGATGAGAAAGACATGCCAAAAACATAAAAAGTTGGCTTTCTCACCCACCCTGTTCCAGTTATAACTTTCTCACTTTGAGCATGCCTCTTGGAGAGTTTCATTTGTCTGTAAACGTCATGCGTGTTTCTCAGAGCCTTTTTTTTTTTTAACATCACGCAGGTTCTTAAGATGCAACTTAATCAGCTAGAACAAGAACTTACCCACATTCCCAGCCAGTAGTATCCTGCAGCATGAGTCTGTATACAGTGATGTCAGGGAAATGGCTGAGTGCTTTGTGAAGGGCAATGTATCTTTCAGAAGCTTCCCCTGAGCAAAGGACAAGGCAAACAAGAATTCTTCTACGATAATAGATTCTATGAAATCTCAATATTAAGGTTGAATTTCACTCTACCTAAGACATCTCAAAAATTTTTTTTTATCTCTACTTAACAAGATTTCCTCTTCTGTACTAAAAATAAGTTGACGCTTTCCATGAGGACTTATTACTTTGAAATGAAGAGTATGGACAACTCAAATATGGATAACTGTCAGCTGTTATTAATTTCCTCTTTTCATGGTGTTTTCCATTGGTCTTTTCACACATTCCTTGCGTGGGATTTCAACTCTATGGTCTCCCCTTACACAAACATTCCTTTCAGAATCAAATGTAACTCCACTGTTACAAGACATATTACAGCAGGCATATTTACCTCTAGGAAAACGTACTTCTGATATTGGAACAATAATGGATTGCAAGAGAGTCAAACTCTGCTAAACTATTTTGAGTGTTATAAGCTAGCCCTTGGAAGAACTTCCATAATATTATCTCTGGAGAGTAACTGAGAACAGACTTTGAATCAGCAGCTGTTTTCTAAGACTACTTGTTTATCGTCTTTTCTGCTTCTCTTTTTTATTCATCACAGGCTAAAGGGCATTTTATTCCAAGATCAATGTGGAGATGGTTTGTGTTTTCAAACTACGGTTTTCACTATGAAGCTAGAACCCATGGGCAGACTGGGACTGAGCTGGCAGACAGCCGTGCTGCTTTGTGTTCTCTGGTCTCAGTGTGGGTCACACAACATGGCTGCCATCTCCTGGGTCGCCTGTAAAAGAGGCTTCATCACAGTGTTCATACCTTCTTTTGTCTCCAAGAGTTTCAGGGTCACAATGGGCAGTCTACTAGCAACTCTCTGATAATCTTCTGTTCTCGTAATGCCGCCTACTTTGAATTCTTATTTTTTAAATTTATTATCACTGTGTGGGGGGTGTGCTGTGGTGTGGTTTGTGTATGTGTGCCAGGGAACAACTTTGGGTGTCACTCCTTGGAAACACCATTCTCCTTATTTTAGGAAAAGATGTTCCCTGGCCTGTAGCTCATCAGCTAGGCTAGAATGCCTCGCCAGTAAGCCCAAGGGATCTGCTGATCCCTCCTCCCCAGTGCTGGGATCACAGTGTGCTCTAATGTGCTCAGATTTATAATGAGGCAAATGCCACACTGAACTTGCCTCCCTAGCTCCTCATGTCCCTTTATATACTACATTACTGATGGCATTTTACTTAAATATCCAGTAGAATATTGTGAATTTACAGCTCAGCACAAAAGATTTGAAACCATTAACAGTTTTCATGATCTAATGCCTTCAGTGGTAACAGCGTATAGTTAGGGAGCAGTCAGACTGAAAAGCCCCCTATTGGGCTAGAAGAGTGAAGTGTGTGAATTGAGTGGCCCACTGGAAGAAGGCTCAATGCCTGACTGTCCTCTTTATCACCCCATTCCCTCTGCATCCCAGCCAAGACCAAACTTCGTCACCTCCAGGTTCCACAAGCGGAGGTGTCCGTCCTCATGGGCGGTGACCACGATAGGAGGCTGTGGTTCGGCCGAGCTGGCGACTGTGGGCTGTTTCCTGCTCCCTGGCTGCTGTTCTCCTCCCGCCATGTCTGCTTGCTCACCTAGTAGAGAAATTCATAAGCTCCGCCATCCTTGGGGCAGAGTTTTATAGAACACCAAAGAAGAGATGGGTGGGGAAAAAAGCAGTGCAGGATTTTCTCAAAGTATTTCCCTCAACTTGAGAGAACTCACAGGGA